CCCCCCCCCCCCCCCCGCCGATTTTATCGGCGGTCCTCTTTTCATGGTAAATATACTAACCCGCAAAAAAAAACGAGCCTAATAAATTTAGTAGCCCGTTTTTGGAGGTAAATGTATTTTTTATTTTTATGTCTAATTATTTTATTATATTTTGCCAATCATATTGCAATATAAATAGCGAAATACAATACAATAATTAGCAATCATATTATACAATTTGTTTGATATTATCTTTTATTGAAATTCTTTATACAATTCAATATTTTACAATAATAACAATTTAAAATACAATATACAATCATAAATGCTGTTCAAAATATAATACAAATTTCATATAATAAAAGCATAAATAACAAATTTTATTTCGTAATCATTTCACATTAAAATACAAATTTTGATACTATCTTCGATAGTGTTCAAAAAGTTGTTCTGTTTTTATCAAATATATTTGCAAGCCGTTGAATAAAGTTGGAATTCTTGTAATTGTAAGCAAACTACATTTAATTTAACTTGCAAAGAAAATTTAAATAAATAAAAACAAATCAACCTGAAGAGGCCCTCCACCACCCCCGCTGATTTTATCGGCGGTCCTCTTTTCTTGGTAAGTATACTCACCCATAAAAAAGAAATGAGCCACTAATAAGTTTAGTAGCCTGTTTTTTGCAGGTGAATATATTTTTAATGTATTTTTATTTTTATGTCTCATTATTTTATTATATTTTGCTAATCATATTGCAATATAAATAGCGAAATACAATACAATAATTAGCAATCGTATTACACAACTTGTTTAATACAATCCTTTATTGTAACTTTATACAATTCAATACTACAATAATTATTATTATTTATAATACAATATACATTTATAAGTGCTGTTCAAAATATAATAAAAATTTGATATAACAGAAGCATAATTAATAAATTTTAATAATGCAGGATTATACGAAAACGTCGAAAATACATATAATAACACACATTTTTCTAAACCAATTTTAATGAAATATTAATACATGCGGAAGAAATATTAACAATTCGATCGTATTTACTATTAATTACTAACTTGCGAATATAAAACTTATTAATATTACGATAAAAAGTCATTAATATATTTATGACAGCACTTTCATCGCGTTCAAGATTACTTATCCCAATAATGTAACCGAATCAAGGTCCCTCCGCCTGTGATATGCTATAGTTAGCATCCGATATAAAGAACAGCAATTTTCGTAGTGGAGAACAAACTTTTTACGTCAAATTCACAATGTCCATTTGTAAAGAAAAATTAAGCATTTCGTCAAACACCAGCGGTCTTGTTAAAAGATGGTGTAAATCCCGAATCTTCCAGATCACTTACGATAGTAATAATTTTAGTAGCATGTCAATTGCAATTACCATTTTTATTACTTCTTTAATATAATATTAAAATTTGCGAGAAAATATGTTCAACCACCCATCACTAAAAATCACTTATTAAAAATGAATAGAATAAAATAATTTCCTTACGAAATAGTGGTTACGAAGGAATATATTTAATAATAATAAAATACATGCGTTGTTGTAATCTTTTATATATGGTATGGGTACAAAAGTTTCTCGGGTACCAACTGTTCGAGATAAGCCGAACCCGATAATAACGGGATTTTAAAGAACATTTATACTGAAAAATTTATTATATAAAATTTAACGATTCCTTATTTTTCTGTATGTTTCAAAAATTTTAATTATTAATATCCCGCTAATAAGAGGGTACCCATTCGACTTATCTCGAATTTTTTCTACCCACACATTTTTAATTAAATTCATGTAATCACGATACATTACTAAAAGAATATGAAATACTTTGGTAAAAATTATCTAAGTCGACAAATATTAAAATTTGTTAAATATAATCTCATAATATCTGCATGTATTTTATCATAAAAAATATATACATATAAATTAATAATAAATAATTTTCTGGAATGGCGGGATGTCCAATATCTAAAAATGATTTTAAAAATAACAGTTAGAAAATTAAATATACACATTCGTAACCACATTTTTGTTAGAGCAATCATCGAAAAATAAGCAAATTGTTTGTATAAAAATTAAATTTATTTACTTAATAATTTGGACTTAAACAAGTAATCATTATATGTATATATCTAAATTAATCATATATAATACTAAATTCCATTTGTTATTAAGACTGTTACTAACGTTATTATTAGTGGGAGAACATTTAATAAAACAAAAAATGCGACAAAAATTGTATGCTAAAATATGCCACTGAATTATAATTTCGCAACTTGGCTTTAAAATATATAGCAATTATCATTGATTCATTGAAAAAATTATTACTTCCAGTAACTGCAGACGAGAAAACTCGGGATTAATTCTGATTCTGTATAAGAATCTCCGAAGGACACCAAACTAGACTTTGCGAATGGACTTTACGAAAAGCGACGAGGAGTAACTCTCCATAATGAAAATAATTTCGACTTTCCATCGGTACAAAGCACGCAATCACTGCGGCATACATTGACGCAAAGAATAGCGATGAGGCCTTTGCATATAATAAATTGATCACTAAACTATACTTATAATTCTATAATATTAAAAATGTAAATCTCAAAAAGCAAACAAAAAGTTAATATTTAACTTTTGAGCTTGCTTCAGTCAAAGCATCTTGCTCCAATCTTCATTTATTAAATAAATTTGTATACTAATAAATACGAAGAAAAATTGACGATTATTTTAACATTAAAATTTTAATTAAAAGATACTTAAAATTATTAATGACTTTTTAATTCAAAATAAAATCCAAATTAAAAAAAATTTTTTTTAGTTAAATATTTATTAAACTTATTAAATTAATAAACAATTTTTGTTATTATATGTTTCGGCGATTTCGTATAATTTACATTTAAATTACGCAACAATTTGGTTTACTACGACAAGATAAATGCTGTCTGTATTGAACAGATATTCAATACGGATATATATATTCCAGTAAATAACTTATTAGTAATTATTGGCAAATTACAAAAGTGAGTATATAATGGCATTTATCTGGACATAGTTTACATACATTTTATAATACATGCCTAATACTATTATAAGTACATACATTTATTTACAATAAAATTTATTACAATATTAACCCGTTACATAATTTAGACGCGTACAGAATTTTACAAATAAGTTTAATTTTAGGGTCGCTGAAAAATCAGTAAAATTTGAAATTAATTAATTTTATTTTCATATTTGATAGTTGGAACAGGATGATGATAGAGAAGACTGGGATCAAAATTAACACCGGTAAGTTGTGACACTTACACAAAAACATTATGAACAAAATACAAAAGCGTAAGGAAGAGATAGAAGTTTATATAATAATATATTTATTACAAACTTCTATCTCTTCCTTACACTTGTATACTTTGTTTATAACATTTTTT